ATTGCTCAAAACATAAATTGCTTGAAAACTTAAATGACTTGAAAACTTAAAGGTAAGAAAACATAAACTAGGCGTCCGAAGCTAGTAAACCTAGGTGAGAGCTTGGAAAGTACCAAGGACTTCCAAGGACCACTCTCACATGCACTAAACGGATTACCTAGTTGAAAACACTAAGGAGAGATGGAAATGCACCAAAGGCACTCCAAGACACTCCTAAAGGCCTTGTACACAAATGAAATGAAAATTCACAAGAAATGAAATGTGGAGGCTGCACCAAAATTTAGAAAACAAAATAGCCACCAATTATGACAGAATTTAAAGATAGATTTTGGAAAGGAAATTTTGTGACTAAATTTTCGTCTCTAAATTTGGTCACTAGTTTCCTTTTTACAAAAATTTTCTTGAAAATTTTCTTTGGTGTCCTTCAAGTTCCTCCCAGCTGCAGCAACCTTTCCAAGTGTATCACTCCTCTCTTAGAAATAACCTTGATGTTGGTTATCCCTAGGTGTTTAGGCTTCCAAAGCTTTCCTCCAATGGAGAAGCAAGGTCTCCTAGGCCACCACAAACCTTCCAATATGGCTACCTTGCTAGGTTGGCCTTCCACACCTTCAAGAAGCACTCAAAAACCTTAAGTTGCTGGAATATATGGTAAAAACTGAAAGGAACAATTAGGAAAAGCTACACCAAATGGTAGAAATTAATGAGACAATACTAGAAAGAATTCCAAACAAAGACAAGCAAAAATTAAGGCACCAAAGAAAGGCTAGCACACAAAGGAAGACCTATCAATGGAATTAGAGTAGATTACAAAAACAAAATCTAAGATTAGAAAATCAAAAACTCAATGTAATCATACAATGCTATGGCTGGACAGAAAAATTAAAGCAAAGAACACACACCAAAACCTAGAACAATTCTCACTAGTTTTCACTCCTCTTTGGCTTTTTCTTTTGTTCTTTTTTGTTCTTCTTTTTGCAAATTATTTTTCACTTGTTTTTCTTTTAAAACACAGGAGTATTAATGCCTTTTACACATATAGCAATCTCGGATTTAGTGTAATAAAACTGCTGCAAAAAATTTAACAAAACAAGAGGTATACAAGTGAATTTGTTTTTCTAGTGCTTCACAATTTTGTACAAATTTTTAGGTTAACTTTCAAGCACTCTTTTCTTTTGTTTTTCTAAGACCCTAAGCACACTTATACCTCTATTTTGCCTCTGTTTGAATTGAGAAACAATGTCCACACAGTTCAGCCATACAAAAAGAATCAAGGAAACCTAATAGGAAAAATGTTTAACAATTTTTTTTTGACAAACTTTTAATGAGACATCAAGGAAACCTAACTCTAGGAAATTTGCTAGAAAAAATAGCAAATTAAGAACTCAAATATGTAAAGTAAAAGCACATATAGGTCAGGCACAAAAATTATAAAGAAAAAAAATGCACCAAACATTGACTCAAAACAACACAAAAAAGCTAGTCTAGGATTCAATGACATGTAAAGGACTACAGATGACTCTAGACAAAACACATGATTCAAAAACAAAAACTCATGCTATTCAATGTTGTAATCCAATCACGGATTCATGTTATGGAATAGGCAAGACTCAATCAAAAATAAAAAGCACAAGCACAAGAATACCTAAAGCACAAAACCGAATTGATTCAAGAGTAATGGAATAAGCAATAAGATGAATCAATCAATTCTCGTGTGACATTTTGGATCCATCAAAATGTGTAGAAGAACTAGATCCATTCAACAAAACAAATGAGACATGTAAAGGAATATTGAGACATGACCAAATCAATTTAAAGGACAAGAGAACATAACCTCAAGAACACCAAGGCTCTAGATACCAAAAATGATGGAACCTCTTGAAGAAATGGTTGATGTTTCCTTCAAGCTCCACTGTCCAAGTCCTTTCTTCTCTTGAGGTTGACTTCAACAATGGCGGAAACACCTTGAAAAAACTTCAATGGTGAAGAAGCAACAAGAATTTGTTTGGTTACTTCTAAAGGAAGTAGAAGAGTGAGGCACCAGGGCACAAAGGTGGAAAGGGAGTTCTCCACAGATTCTATGGCTTTGGGAAGAGAGAGTTCTAAGAGAATTTCTGATTTCATTCATCCAAAGTGAGGGAAAATGAGAGGTTTACAAATTTATAGAAGGACGTAGCTTAGGGAGCAAGTTAACCTTAACCATGGTTCAAGGGAACCATGGTTTGGTTGCTTGACCGACCATCATAGTTTAGGAGGCTTGTGGAGCAAGCTTCTCACTTAACTTGCTTGGGAAGCAAGCTAGATGAGAAGCTTGTAGAACAAGCTTCTTAAGGCTCCAAAGTGTAGAAGCAATTTTGGCCAAAGAGAAAGACTAGGCAAGTTAGGCGACCTTGCACTCATTTTCTCAATGAACCCATTTTCTAAAATGCTTGATTTGGTTTAGTTAGGTTCATCCAAAAATGATGAGACCTGGCTAAATCAAATCCTAAAAAAATTAGGAACAAAATGAGTCCAATATGTAAAATTTTGCTTAGGCCCAATTCTGGCCTAATTGCTAAACACACCCTCAAGCCTTGCTAATTTCCATCCTACTTCTACTATTGGAAAATAGAAAAAGAGTGACCTTCAATACAAGGTTAAATGGAGTCAAAGTCTCCAAGTAACCTACCATAGAAACAATATACAATGGCCTATAAAAATGAAATAAAGTATCTCACAAATACAAAGGCAAAAAGGTAAACCTATACAAATAAACTATGTACAATTTATATACAAAATAACTATGCCTTCTCTTCATTATAAGTTGGTCCATATTAATATTACCTTAGGCTTGGAAAGCCCACTGGTCTTCAAGTTGTCCAATCCTTCCTGAATGCTCCTGACCATAGCTCTAGTGATTGGGCCCTTGGCCCATGGTCCATCAAACTACATCAATCAAGTCTCTCCTAAGGTTTCCATCACTTTATCACTAGGTCAACAATAGTAGTAATGAAGAACCAAATTTGAAGTAGGATGAAAATGGGTATATTTACATAAATACCAAAAAGTTTGCATAATTGCCCAACTATTTGAGTGGAGTTGAGTAGGGTGACATTTTAACACACAAAGCATACTCATAAATAAAATCATTAAAGGGAAGGTTTATACCTAAGTCTTGGAAGACACAATCATACATAAAGAAAAAATGATGTTTATTTAAAGGAGTTTTTTCATAAAAATATAGTTAGGATAGGAGGAGGCGTTAGTCTTACAACGTCGAACATGGATAGGAAAAGGTTTAACTTCAACAGAGAGAAAGGAAATTTTGATATTAGATAATTTTTTTTGAAAAGTTACATAATCGTTGAAACAAGAATTGTAAGTTCCAACAACTTCGTGAACCCATTCATATCTAGGGACGATTATGACATTGATGGGATCCTTGCAAGAATCGCCTATGAAAATATTAGAACCCTACTCTTTGGCCATAGGGTTAGCCTGTTTAATTACATGATTGATTCCAAATGAGGATGAACATGAATTTGATGAGGATGAAGAGGAAGACATGAATTCTAAGTAGAAGAAATAGAATGAATAGAATGTGTTATTCTTACCTTTAGAAGAGTGTGAAAATCAAATAAAAGAGGTATCGATCTCAGAGAAAAAAAAAATGAGAGACTCATATTTATAGGAAAAGATTTTGTGAAGGGCAAGAAACACACAAATTGCAACTGTTGGATCTTAGGATGATCAACGATCGATAATATGTGACACTTGACTTATTGAGAGATAAAATGTTTCCTCAAAAAAGGGTATGAAAAGGCAATACATTTCAAAACATCATGGAAGAAAGACAAGAAGCTGAAAATGTCATAGGAAATGATGAAGCAATACTACTTTACGTCGAAGGTAAAAAGACACTACAACAATAGTAAATAAATCTCTTATGATTTAAAAATATATAAAAATATATATATATATAAAATCTCAAGAGCATGAGGGTGTGTATATTGGTAGGGTCATGATCAGGGACTATTCAAGAAAATATGTGTTGATATCGAAATTAGGTCAAGGACTAGATTTTGATAACGATGACTAAAAACCTAGTAACATCGATGACTCACAAGAGAATTAAACCAAAAATGAAGAAATGAATTATCAAATCTATAATGGAAACTTGGGCCCATCAGGCAAACTCAATAAAGTTATAATATAAAATAGTAACATTTGGTAAGATGAAAAGACAATTTTTGATCATATTTATTACAACTTTTATTACATCATTCTAATTAAGGTCAAGTACAACTTTTATTACATCATTCTTTTTTCACATTACTAAGAGGAATCAAAGATTGTCAAGCTAAAGACTAGGAGTATAATAAAGGAGAAGAGAATTGTTGTTGTGTCCTTATGTAGATACAATAAATAAATATCATATTTGAATATATAAAATACTTAAAATTTGTATAAATAAACATATTTAAATATATAAATTATATTTTAGATTTAAGAAATAATTTATATTATAAAAAAAAATTATTTTAAAATATTGATAATTTATTTTAGAATATTAAAATTAAACTCATAAATAAATATAATAAAAAATTAAATTAAATAAAAAATTTAAAAAATTTAAAAAAATTCCCTTAAAAAATAACTCTTAGACAAAAACACTTTCACACGAGATAATTGTTAATATTTAATATAAAAATATTTGTTACTGATAATTTATATTTAAGATATGAAAATTTAATTTATAAATAAATATGATAAATAAAAAAAGAAATTACATAATAAGTTAATTTTTTTTAAAAGACTCTTGTGAAAGAATAACGTTCTAGCACAACAGCTGTTCGCGTTTAATATTCATATGGATGAAATTTTAAATTTTTACTTAACTGATTTTCTTTATTAATTTGTTATTTAATAGTATATCAAAATATTTATTTAATTACAATTAATTTTATCGGATGTAACGCTAACGACTGTGGATTATCCGATATTAGTTTACTTTACAGACAAAAAAGTATTTGTAAAGTTGTAGCTTTTAATAAACGCATAAGTCGGTAATAGTGCAGGCGAAACGAAGTCTATCAGGTGGCGATGGCGTCCAAAGGTTCAACACCTCCTTATCCCAGTGCTGCCAGATTCTCTGATTCTCAATGTTTTCCGCAATACACCGCTTCTCTCAAATGTGAGTCAGATACTCTTATTGCTCTCTTCATTCTTTACATTTTCTGTTTTAATTGAATGCATAATTAATTGATTCCAATTGGGAATTAGCTGATTGAGCAAAGTGGGAATTAAGCAGTTATCTTTTCAAAGATGAAACAAGAATTAAGGCTTCTGAGTAAGAATATATAGTTTAGTTGACATTGGTAGATGAAATGGAAAATTCAAAATTGTGGGAAATAATCTTGACCTCCATTAACATGCATTATGATCCTTTAACTAATTGATGTTTATTTGTTTTATTTAACTTTATTGGTTTGTTCCTTTTATGATATTATTGGGGATCAAAGCTTTTGGGTCTTCCAAATGTATTAGGTTGTCTTATTAAATCATCTCATACTGTTTATTTTAATGATGCCTTCTTCTGATTGATGGTTGAAGTAAGCATATATGTGGAGTAAATGTTGGACCAGGTAAACTGTTGTTGGTATACCTAATGATTGATAGTTATATGATTAATTTAATGTTGCGCATTTCCTTTAAGGGATCATGACTAGTGTATAGTTTAAATGGTTGAAAATTCTATGCTCACTGTTTGGGAAGTAAGAAAAGGCCCTGTAACTAATGATTGACCTTGGGCTGTTCAGCCAATTATTAGTGTATCTTACATTGTTTTTTAAATGTTTCCAGGTTTACAAGAATTTAATTCTGATAAGAGTAAATGTCAAGAACATTTTGATGTTTACAAGGAGTGCAAGAAAAAAGAGGTACTGGAAATTTCATCACTTTTGTTTATTTTACGGTTTTACGTTGCATATTTTGAAAGTGGTGGCATGGGTCCTACAACTTGGAGGATTAAGTGTTTCAAATGACCATGTTTTTCTTCCTGAAATGTGATGTTGATATACAAAAAGAGAAGTTTGACATGTTAGCTGATCATTTTGATTCCATGTCTGTATAGAATTGCTCAGTTCTTAACCATAACTGTTCCTTCCTTTGTCCATGTTCTTCTCTCTTTCACCACACTTCCTTGAGAATGTTTACTGGGAAGCTACAAAATTTTGTAGGTGTAAAACACGGGGAAAAAATAGTTTTCATGGTAACTTAGCTTTTGACTAACCTGGCTGAGCTAGGCAAGGCCCAATCAGTTCAATCTTTGCTTCTAATGGGCAATTATCTGAGTCTTATCAGATCTAATAAGGAAACTAATGGCATTTTCTATATATAATAAAAAAAGAGCTTTTGAAAACATCATGTTACTCAATGTTTTTTGATTATAAAATCAAATTTTATATTATTTGAATCAAAATAACTTTCATTCAGCAAAAAAAAAAAAAAAAAAACTTTCATCTAGCTGTGTAAAATTTTATATTATGATTTATGTTATCTGGTTGGGTTGGGTCATTATTGTTTTTTACTCATTGCTTGTTTTAGTGTGATTGTTCAAACCAGTTGTATCAAGAAAAGGAAAATATTGGGGCTGTTTTACTATGTTCTATCTTTGGTGGGTAATAGATTGTAACACGGTGTTTAGGGAAGTTGGTGCTTGAAAATAATGCATTGGTGGTTAAACATGTTGCTTAATTTAGTGTGTACTTCTCTATGGTACTAGGTAATCTGTAATGAACATGATTTCAATCAGAATGAGCAGGAAATTATCCCTCAAGTTTATGCTTCTTTTAGTAAACCACGTCTTGTAGAGTTTGGGAATCAGTAGTAAGCATGATTCTGATTAGAATGAGAAGGAAATTTATCTCTTAAGGTTTTCTTTTAAACTCGTCATGTGGGGTGTGGATAATGGTTCTAGATGTACCTCTAATTGCATATTTCACTCCATTGAACAAACAATGCACCCAGCACTGGTGTAAAGTCCCTCTAATGACTGAATAGCTGATCATGCCATTGCTACCTTTCTGACTGTTTGTTGACCTATGGTAGCATTTAATACGGGTTAGAACATTGGAATATAAGGTTTTTTATATGTTTGGTGCATTTTAAATAAAATTAACCAGGACATAAGGTCAAAAAAAATTAACATTTTGGTTCCACTAGAAAGTGGGCGAGCCTTGGCGTAATGGTAAAGTTGTTTCCTTGTGGCCTAGAGGTCATAGGTTCAAATCCTAGAAACAGCTTATCTACCTGTGGGGGTTAAAGCTGCATATATCTATCATCCTTAGACCCCACTTGGCGGGAGCCTCATGCACTGGGTTTTCCCTTTGGGTCCCGCTAAAAAGGTAGAATCAAAGTGAAAAGAATAGATCAGACTGTTCCATCCATTTTGTCTGCATGCCAAACACTACCTTAGTTCCTTATTTGTCATGTGTTTTCTTTCAGCTATTCTAAGGTACACTCTTTGTACTCACTATATCACCAAGATTGCTCTCACTTTCCAAAGCATGTTGTATCATCCTAATAAATGATTTCACTCATTTGACCATCAAAGTCATTTGTAGATTCTCCAGTTAGGTGAAACTTTGTTGTTATTTCCTGATCAATCTCCACAATAAACAATCATTTGAGATTAGCTGTTTGATTAATACGTTCTTCAGTTAAAATATGATCAGTATGATCAAGTGACCAAGTACAAATGGCTGATTTGTATGACAGCTTGATCATTTTATCTCAGCAACAAAGTTAGACCAGCTAGAAAGCCTCAAATAGCAGGACTACAACATTTGAGTGAATGACATTAATTCAGATAAGAAGCTTTCAAGGAGAGAGGAAGAGAGACATCTTGACGCTCTAGTGATTAGCATTATATGCTTTCCTTTTTTATTTTTCTTCCTCACTCAAATCTACCTTGAGAACCATTACATTTCTTCTTCTTCTGCATACAGGTCTCATTTACTCATCTTATCGGGAAAATTCTTGATCTTGCTTCAATTTCAATCATAAATAATTGTTTTGAAACGTGAACCAGTTTCTATTCATCTTGATCATACATTCATTATCCATCACTGTTACAGTGTTAGTGTGTTACAGCTATTATGAAACCTTTAATGAAGATAGTCCCTTATCTTTGTATTATATAGTAGTCAGTTTATGAAAGTCTGTTACTTGATACTGCCAGATGTCAACAAATTTTTCCACGTGTAAAGTTTATCAATTTTCTTTTGTCCTTAACCCTTCCAAAATGTAGGTCTATGCCAATCAAAAGAGCCAGCTGAGAAGACAGATAACAGCAAAAGGGTATTTTAACTAGGGTTGATTAGGGGTTGGGTTGACCCCGACCAACCTGAACAGAGCTAAAATTATTCAGTTAGGTTGAGTTAATAGGTTGAAACAATTTAAAAATGGATGAAGCAGTAGTAATTGGGTCGGGATTAGGTTTGGAAAATTTGCACATCATATTAAAATATAAGAAAGTACTCGATATTTAATTATCCTTAATGTTGAATTTAATTTGTATTCTTTTCTATCCAACTTTTGATATTAGATATCTATTTTCTTTTGATCCCTATTTTTTGTATTTTTTTCATTTTTTGATTTTTTTAATATTTAACCCAATGACAGTACCGAAATTGATTCTTATCGAGTTGGACTGATTCCTACAACTTGTATAGCCCAAACTTGATCGGATTGTTTGTGTTCAAGATTCTCCTGAACTAGACCTAACCAGTGTTCACCACTAGCTGTAGTTTCACAATGAATCTTGTTAGTTAAGAAATATTTGTCATTTTAGATTCTTTATCATCCTTATCTCCAGTGTTCTGTTGTCTTCCTTGACCATCATGCCGTGATATGCATTTGGCCTTTTTCTTAAGGTTTTAAAAAAATCAATAGCCCCCTATCAACATGTTTTATGATATAATATTATGTTATCGTTGGATCTATATAGCAAATCACATTGCGTGAATGTTTCCATCTGGTTACACCATATATAAACACTAAACTCAAGGCATTGCATAAATTAAATGGTCGCAAATCTTGCTTAAATGTACACTGAATTTTGTTGTTGTACTTATTGTTGGAAGCTTGGCATGTTGCACTTGTGATATAATCTTATTATTGCGTTGGATCTTTGGCTAACTCTTCCTGTGTGTTTGCTCTGACAGATATGTGCTGGGTAGTTCAGAATAAATATTGTTTCTAAAATTATGTTTTATTGTATTATCCATTGCTTGATAATGCTGCTTGAAATGGTTTGTCTGCTAAATATGGATTACAAATTTTGATGATTAGATTTTTCCATCTTTTATATAATATAACAAAAAAATAGCGTATATTTTCTGGAGCATTCTTTTGTTAACCAGGCTGGTTGAATAATTCCTTCTCCTTGTTTTAACAGAGGGAAGAACGATTGGAACGCAATAAAAATAGGTCCTTATTCTCATGAAATTTTAGCTGGGATTTTACCGATTGTATCATAGAAAACAAAGTTAAAAGTTCATCTATATCATAGCACTGAGGTAATGATGTTTTCTGAATCCGTGACAAGACGATGTTCAAATAAATGTGTACAATGGTATTCTACGCTATTTTATGTTCCTTATTCTTTCAATTATTAGTTTAGGTTCCTTCTTTTCATCTTTTAGCACTGCAGTTGTTCCAGTGTGTTAATTCATCTGTTACATTTATTAAGAAATTTACTTAAATTATGAGTACCAATGTTATTAATGGCGCTCGGCAGCAGGCCAACGATGGACTAGCGGCAGAAACATGGTAGCTATATAAAAAACTTAGGTGCAATATAAGGCGTTACCAGTGACTTAATAACATGAGTAATCTAATAAAGTGTTTGGATAAAGAATTTTAGGAATTCAGATTATGTTTGGAAGAAAGATTTTAGTGTAACAATTCAATTTTTTTTTTTTTTAAGAATTTCAAATACTTTGGTATGAAATGTTTTGTTTGGATGAAAAATTTAAAAAGAATTTAAAATTCAAGTATTTGTTAATTATTCCATTTAAATTAAGGATTTCTAAAATTCTATGAATATCAAATTTCTTAAATTTTTAAAATTTGTTATTTAAACATATCAATAAATTTTACAAATGCTTGAATAAATTCTTCATCTAAATAAAACATCTCACATGTTGAATTGTCTTGAATCTTGTATATTGCGTAATCAAGATGAGAACATTGGATTGCTCGGTAGGAATGGGAAAATGAGTCAATTTAGCTTGATTAGGCATGGCTCATTGTTAGTAGGCCAAAATGGGTGACTAACCAAAGAAAAATGGGTTGGATGCCTTGACTCTTTTTATCTAATGGTGGGTTGACAGATTGACGGGTCAATTCACCAAAAAAATAAAAAATAAAAAAAGGAAAATAAGAAAAAGAAGTTTGCATATTTATTTTGGGTATATCTTTCAACATATTTCTTTCTTAATATATAAATATTAAATTACAACTAATTTGGTTGAATTTGGTGTATTATAAATTTTAAATTTGTTGCATATTAAAATAGATATGTAATTATAATAGCTCTTCCAATAGATTTATTGTACAACATATATCAAATTACATATAATAAAATAAATCAAATGCACAACAATCACAAATTTGGTAGGCTAGGCTAGGCGAACTAGGATGTCTAACCCGACTTGACATGCCGAGATCCATTTTGCCATCCTATTGTTTGGAATTGTTGTTGCTTTAAAGAACAATGCATCACCTTATATGGAGGAACATTTTTATTTTTTGGGTAATTATTTATTGGTGCGAAGTATTAATATGTTCTATCAATGATTAATTTATGTTGGGAAATGATAGAAAAATTATTAGCTACTTTATCATCACTTCTAATATTCTATTAAAGAGTTATAAGGTAAAACTAGCATTGATATTTTTCATTCACACTTTCAAGAGGTACAAGTTTATAACCAAATAATTATTAAGGATGAACCTAAAACTATTATCATCTTATTTTAGGGAATTAAAATAAAATAATATTATAAAATAAATATAATATTATGTTAACTTCATCTTATAAAAGTTTTCAACCATTTAATTTTATCTATTTTAGGTCTCTTTCCATCAAGTGGAATGAAAACCCTATTCTTAAGGCTTTGTGAGAAATAATAAGAGTCTTCAAGATTGTGCAAGTATTGGAAGAAAAAATACCATCAATGTTGTTTTTAATATATGGTGGAGATTAGTTAAAGGTGAAAAGGCCAATATGCAATAATAGGTTGTAAGCATATGATGGTGAAGCGGAGACTTTAGTTGTAGTGTGATGAAAAGGAATTGGTTGTCTTATGTGAAAAAATAAAAATGGACACATTATTTTAAGTTCAGATGAGTGTGATAGGTTGCCATGAGGTTGACATGGTGGAGAAAATTTTTGGGAAAAAATGGCTCCTTTTAATGGGAGTAGAATGCATAGGAGAGGTTACGTGTTAATGGGCATGATAAGTTGAGTGGATATCAAGATTTGCAAAAATTGAAGAGTGTGAATAGTTGTGAAGGTAATTGGGTTGCTAATATTTTGAGGTGTGTGGGAACTAGAAGAAGGCACATCAATAATTTTTTTTGGAATTAGGTTGTGACACAATAGAACATATAAAAGTTTAGGAAGGTGTGTTGTGCACTAATGAGGAATCACATGGTAGGTGCTCAATGAGTTGATAGTGATGAAAAAAAAAATGAACGAATTAAATAGTACTAATTTTGAGTTGTGTGGATGCAAAGAGGGGAGAAGTACTGGTGACGTTTGAGATTGCTAAGTAGGTGAATATGAAGAAAAAATATATACATGAGTTGATATTGTATTTGATGGAATAATTTGGGTGTTTTGTGTATGTGAATGAAGGGGAGGGTATGAAGATAATGGAAAAGGTAAATTATGCATTGCATTTTGAGGTCGGATAAACAAAATGTTATGGTTGATATAATTAGAAATTGATGTAAAAATGTAAAAAGTGGAGGAGGAGACCAACTTTGATGGCTTTGAAGTCCACCATGGAGGGTCTGGTGGAGGTGGAGAAAACCTGGGTGGGTATGTTGGGAAACTAGGTTGTTGCGATCATTATGGAAGATAAAGAGTTCCTATAGGTTGGTATTGGAATTTGGTGGAGGACCAGGAGGATTGCCTTGGTTGTGACTGTTGAAAGTGGTGGGATTGGTGTTGCAAATCTATCTTTTATGGTGGTGGTTGTGGTGGTCATATATAATTTTGATGCAAGATGAATCCATAGATTGGTGTGCTAAATGTAGGAGGAGAGTAAGTTGATGAAATTACCATTTGATAGGAAGACTACTAGCTTCTCTATCACTACTCCTAATACTCTACCATTAAAGAGTTATAAGAAACGTAAAACTAATATTAATATTTTTCATTCATACTCTCGATAATGCAATACACTATATTTATAAGAGAAACACTCAAAACATATTCATAACAAATTCCTTTATAGAACCTACCTAAAAGAGTTATAATTTATATTTATATGTTATTGTTAAAAGGAGAAATAAATATATAAGAAAAATTAATATGATGGCCTTAATAAGACCTAAGGACTAATAAGAAAAAAGATGGTAACAATACTCCACCCATCCACAATAACCTTGTCCTCAACATTGTGATCATAAAAAGTGTGGGGCTTGAGTTTTACATGATGATTCTAATCTACCTTAGTTTGTCAACATTCAATATGTTCCTGTCATAAAATATAAATGCTGGTTTTCTTCAACCCAAATTGCAGTAGTGTGTAAACAACTGTCATTACTCTTCAAAAATCAATCTAAGAAAAAACAAGATCCATTTTCATCTTGAGGGAAGAGTAACTGCATTGCTACTTCCTTAAGAAACTCATTATCACTTTTAATATTTATGAGAACATACATCTTTTATATCTCAATCTCAATTTTTGAAGACGTATGTAATTGTCTTCGAGTAGCATCTAGTATAATACCAAATTCAGCAAAAACATGTTCAACGAAGTACACACATCTATCAACAAAATTGCAAACTAAGGTAAGAGCTTTTTTCTTGAACAAAAGGTTCAAGATCACATATAAGGCTAGCCATTATAGAAGCAATTAGCTCCACAAAATTTCTACATCTTATTTGCAAGGAATACCGATATTTAACCTTAACGACTAATGCATTAACTTCGTCAATTGCACAAGTTCTTTAATGCCCCCCACATTGTATGAATGTTGATTTATGTGGCATAAAGTCAACTACCATATTTTTTATGGCACCAAAGGCTTCAACCTAGACAAATATAGAAAGATCAAAGAGAAGTTGAACCAAAGGAAAAACTTCCTTTTCATTCATAAAATGACTTACACTCAAATTCTTTATTGAGTGAGAGACAATTAAGAAAATGAAACTTGTAGTGCATATATAGGCATCCTTACAGGTTAAGGCATCAACTACTAGGTTTAAGACCTAAAATGAAAGAAAACCTTGTAGCACTCCAATTTTGAGCAAAGATCGGTAAAGGCCAGAAATATCCCTTCAAGCTGTTAAGGATGTACAAGACACTTTTGCAAGAGACACTAGCTATTCTACCACTATTCATGATATTCTACAATTAAAAAGCTACAAGGTAAAACTAACATTAATATTTTTCATTCATGTTTTCAAAGGTTAAGGAGGTACAAATTTATAATCCACAAGTGTCATCATCTTATTTTAGAAAATTAAAAATAAATAACGTTAAAAGATAAATACAATATTATTTTAACTTCTTTCTATAAAATCTTTCTATTAGGGAATCTAACTTACTATTTTTAATGAGATCTCCCATCCTAATTACTATTGTTAAGGGGACCAAGTTGTTTTATTCAAGCCAACAATTCATTGGTACTTGGAGGACTATCTATAGGCTTCTAGATTGACACATCTATTATTTTTACCCCTAATGATGGCAAAGCTAGGTGAAGAAGATTGATAATCTTCCCTTGACTTTGCTCTGGCCTTGGGATCTTTTCCTTGAGCCAATTCTGGACTTCAAATTCCAGAAATGAAGTTGAAGATTGCAGAATTAGACAAAGAAGGAAGCACCAAAGTGAAAGAAGCAACGAATTGCTCACAAAGGTGCCTAAACATAGAAGCTCTCAAGGAACCTAAACTAGGTGTGAAGAGACTTTGAAGAGAGAAAACTTTTCTGAAGCAAATGGTCAGATTTCTCAAATGATTCAAAGTGAATACAATGTGAAGAGATAACTCAATTTATAGGCTAGGAAGCAAGAAAATTGGCGCCTAACTCAAGGAATGTAATTGGCACTGAAAATTTGAATTTCAAATGGTATTTGAAATTCAAATTTCTTGGTAGCCCCCATGTGCACGTCCAAGAACTGATCCAATATGCATTAAGGTTGCATTTAGAGTTAATTTGATGTTGATTTTGATGGACCATGTGCAACACCATATAGGCTAGCCCATGTGCACCAAATGCAACTCAAATTACTCCTAAATGTGACCTTAATTTAGCTAACTTTGTCTAATTGAACTTTCCCTTTATATTCCTATTCTAATGACCTAATTACAATGGTCAACCTATCACAAATACTAAGAAATAATAAAAGAAGCAAAA